AATACCAGGGAGGGAGAGGAATTATTTCAGCTCAGTACTAATGTGGACACGAGAACGAATGGATATAAATTGGCCGTGGGGAAGTTTAGGCTTGAAATTAGACGAAGGTTTCTAACCATCAGAGGGGTGAAATTTTGGAACAGCCTGCCGAGGGAAACAGTGGGGGCGAAAGACCTCTCTGGATTTAAGATTAAGCTAGATAAGTTTATGGAGAGAATGGTTTGATGGGATAACGTGATTTTAGTCAATTAGTCAATAACGTGCCATCGCTGGTAAATAGTATCAATGGTCAATGAGGGTCTGGCTGGAGAATCTTGCCTGCAGGCTCGGGGTTCTACTGATTGCCATATTTGGGGTCAGGAAGGAATTTTCCTCCAGGGTAGATTGGCAGAGGCCCTGAAGGTTTTTCGCCTTCCTCCGCAGCATGGGGCAGGGGTCGCTAGCTGGAGGATTCTCTGCGACTTGAAGTCTTTAAATCACGATCTGGGGACTTCAACAGCTGAGTCAAGGGAAAGTGGGTGGGTCAGTTTTTGTGGCCTACATCATGCGGGAGGTCAGACTAGATGATCATAATGGTCCCTTCTGACCTTAAAGTCTATGAGTCTATGAGTCTAAAATCCTATTAAATTCTTGCATCTGCTTTTTTATTATTTGTGGAATGGGATATTCTGAGGTTTAAATCTATCAATTGTCTCTCATTTAGTAAATTTCTGTCTTCCAAATGCCAGTGAATATTAAGAGTTATCACAGCTGTAGCAGAGCAAGTCTAATGACGTGGTGAACTATGAGTCATTATGCAGGAAAGTTCCTTTGGGAGAAATAAGAGTGCCTAGACCCTGACAGTTTCCAACCATTGAAGGGCCATCACTTGACACAAGAAGCATCAAATGAGTCACAGAATAAATGCTAAGGTATCCAGTGCAGGCTGGTGTGGAAGATGGATCAAGGTCCTATTTTTCATGAAGAATAGAAGGACTACGTAAAGCACACAGCAAACTAGTTAGTTTCCTTTGTAGTGGAAAAGGTGGACAGGCCATGTTCTGATTCTTAGGGTATGTCTACACTACAAGATTAGGTCAAATTTATAAAAGTCGTTTTTTTAGAAATCTTTTTTATACAATCGATTGTGTGTCTCCCCGCATAAAATGCTCTAAGTGCATTAAGTCGGCAGACCGCATCCACAGTACCGAGGCTAGCGTCGACTTCTAGAGTGTTTCTCTGTGGGTAGCTATCCCACAGTTCCCGCAGTCTCTGCCGCTCATTGGAATTCTGGGTTGAGATCCCAATGCCTGATCAGGCAAAAACGGTGTCGTGGGGGATTCTGGGTACATGTCGTCAGGCCCCCCCCCCCCCCCCCCCGTCGAGAGCAACGTCAGACAATCGTTTTGCGCCTTTTTTCCTGGGTTACCTGTGCAGATGACATACCGCGGCAAGCATGGAGCCCGCTCAGCTCAGCTCACCATCGCCATATGTCATTTGGGTGCCGGCAAACGTGGTACTGCATTGCTACACAGCAGCAGCTCCTTGCCTTTTGGCAGTAGATGGTGTATTACAATTGGTAGCCATCGTATCCTACTTCTCAGTGAGTTCGGTCAGAGGCGCCTGGGCAGACATGTTTTGTCTCCTGGAGACTCAGTCCTGCCGGCAGTCCTATTGCACCATCTTAACGATGATGGCTAGCAATCGTAATGCAGCATCTTCTGCCAAGCACCCAGAAGGTGCCAATGGCTATCAGTCATGCTGCACCGTCTGCTGCCTGATACCAGACACCTCTGTGTTCTTGGGGAACCAGGGTGCAGTATCCAGCCTGACTCATAAAAGACACCCCCCCACACACACACACAGCCTCTGCTTAAACCAAAACCCATCAGAGGAAGAAACCTTGCAGAGAGCAGTGAAGAGTGTTGGGAGACACACCTAGACCCCTCCTG